CATGCTCAGTGAACATTCTTGTTTATCTGAGAAACAATGCTGAAGTCAGGTATTCTGCTTTAAAATGTGCGTTACGTGCCAGAACAGCTGTCTTTGTTTTGGTCATTTAACCTGCTCAATGTCAGTTTAGCCAATTATATTTCAGCACCCCGGGTTGCCAGATGGTTGAAAACAGCGTATTTCATTCAGTCAGCCAGGAAGACTATCAGAGTGTGCATCTGTGACTGAAATGTGACCTCTGGTGGACAGTAGCAGACTCTGAAATGAGATGCAGATTCAGAGTTCCACATGAGGTGGTTATTAATTAGCAAATAATATAAATATTAGGAGCGTAAACATTAGGTGAGCAGGTCACACTGTAACCCCGTGTCCTAACATCACACTATATGAGGAGATTTGCAGTGATGTTTGGCTGTTTGCAGCAGAGGAAACACGACAGAAATGTGAACACAGCCATTCAGAAGCACAGAATAGTGCACTCACTGCACTCCAGCACAATGGCAAGCTTTATAATCTACTGAATACACATTAAAGCTCTTTAACATGATTAAATGTAGATGCTGAATCACTGATATGTGTTGGTTTGCAGTTCTGAAGTTCAGTTTCGGACGCTTTATTTGATTCTCCAGATCTGAGCTGAACTATCTGCTGCTGCTGTCAGTAGTCTGGCAATACATGTGATGTGAAATGCCATTCAGACTCGCATTATTAGCGTTAAACACTGAATAAAGCACATGAGCTGTACCTGAGCTGGTCATTGTTTTCTGTTGTTCAGCTGCAAGAAACAGAAGACGTTTCAAATAGATCAATTTTAGGTGTTGGTTTGGACAAAAACTCCTTTTAATATGAGAAATATTCCTTCTACCACGTGCCGCTGCTTTTATTTACAACACGGTTTAAATGAGCCTTAAATCAGCCTTTACGCCCCATTCACACGAGGCGTTGGCGTCAATGCTTCCCATTCACTTTGAATGGGTGACGTCAGGTGTTGCTGAACTAAATTGTGAATCCATCGGCGTTGCTTCAGTGGAGTTGCTCACTGCAGAAGTTGGGGATTTCTCAACTTTTCAAGTGCCAATGACCACGTCAGCCAATCGGAATGCTTTATGCAAATACACCATTCAGACAGAAGTCGATTGCTGGCTGATTTCATTGGCTGACGCTGCTATGATGATGACGTCAGCCCCATCTTCAGACACGCCCTCTGTCAAGCGTTGACGCTGAAGCCCCGTGTGAATCGGGCTCGATAGACACACTGACGTCAGTCTGGCAACCTACGCTTGCCTGCACTCATCAGAGGAGGAGCCGAGTGGAAATGTGTTTTGAACCAGGAGTGCAATACCTAATTCAACCACTGGGTGTCAGACTTGCACACTGCACCTTTAATAGAGGATTTGATGTAGTCTTTATGTGCTCTGATGACTTGAGGCAGACGGTTTCTTCATGGGGCTTTATTAACTCAGTGCTGTCGTCACATCAGCATTTCGAAATTAACTTCAATTAAAATAAATAAGTTAATTCAATTACTTCCAAATTTAGATCAAGAATGTTATCATTTAAAGGGGACCTTTTAAACCTCTTATACAAAATGTAAAATGATGTCATTAGAGTGTAGAGTGAAGTTTCAGCTCAAAAAACACACTGATAATGCTCCATAACCCTCTGAAACTGCCCCTTTCAGGCTTTGATCCTAATTGTGGCGTTTTGGTGACTGTCACTTTAAATGCAAATGAGATTGTGCTCTTTTCAGAAGAGGGCGGAGCTACAAATGCCTGTGTGTCAGCATAGTGGCAGATTGAAAACAGGACTAGTGCTCTTAGTCAGGTCTCCATGTTGTCAGTGTTAGTGTGTCAACAAGAAATGCCAACTGACCCAGCCGGGACTCAAATCAGCGACCATCTTGCTGTGAGGCCACAGTGCTAACCACTGAGCCACCGTGCCGCCCATCTGAATTATTGTTTAATAATATTTACGTCTGATTAACGAGTCTTTCATTGCTCTGTAATTATCCATTCACACAGAGCAGCTTCCTGTGTGCTTTAATCTCCGACTCGCTCGCTGTTTCAAAACACCTGCTCCAGATGTGTGTGCTGATCCTCATGTAATCGCTCATAAACACACACACACACACACATTTGAAAAAAACACTCCACTGTTTTGGAAATATGCTCATTCTACAGCAGCAAAGTCCCTTGATTATTATGCCAAAATGAAAGTATAGTTCCTAGCCATATTACCTTAGAAACTAGCTGAGTCCAGCTTCAAAATAGGAAAATTATTAAGACTTTTTAGTCACATTTTAATCAAGATGCTAACGGTCTAATCCGATTCAATAATCTATGCTAAGCTAAGCTAAAAGTGCTCCCGACAGACTCAGAGATCAGCTGAATAATGTAAATAATATAAAACTCAACTATTCAACTTTTAGAGAGTTATAAATTGAGCATTTTTCCAAAATAAAAAGTGTGTTGTTTCTTTAATGCCGCTTGATTAATCTCTGAAAGTATTAGAGCTTCAATATATTATGTTTGGTTCTCTTTACAACAGCAGAGCCCCTTGATTATTACGCCAGAATGAAAGTATAGTTCCTAGTCATATTAGCTTGGAAAATAGCAGAGAAGAGTCGAGGTTCAAAATAGGAAAATTATTTAGACTTTTTAGTCTTGTTTTGATCGAGATGCTAACGGTCTAATCTGATTCAATTATCTATGCTAAGCTAAGCTAAAAATGCTCCCAACAAAACTAAAGATCGACTGAATGGATTTAAAAATGATAAAACTTATCTGTGCAACTTTTTGAGATTTATAAATTGAGCCTTTACTCCCAAAAGTGCAGTGTTTCTTTAATGGTGCTTGATTAATTAAATTTCTTTGATTATTAGAGCTTCGTTATGCTCTATAGCAGCAAAGTCCCTTGATTACGCCAGAATGAAAGTATAATTCCTAGCCATATTTGCTTAGAAACTAGCAGAGAAGAGTCAAGCTTCAAAATAGGAAAATTATTAAGACTTTTTAGTCACGTTTTAATCATGATGCTAATGGTCTAATCTGATTCAATGAACTGTGCTAAGCTAAGCTAAAAGTGCTCCCGGCAGACTCAGAGATCAGCTGAATCAATTTAAACAATATAAAACTCAACCGTTTAACTTTTAGAAAGTTATAAATTGAGCATTTTTCCAAAATAGAAAGTGTGATGTTTCTTTAATGCCGCTTGATTAATCTCTGAAAGTATTAGAGCTTCAATATGTTAGGTTTGGTTCTCTTTACAGCAGCAGAGCCCCTTGATTATTACACCAGAATGAAAGTATAGTTCCTAGTCATATTAGCCTGGAAAATAGGAGAGAAGAGTCGGGCTTCAAAATAGGAAAATTATTTAGATGTTTTAGTCTCGTTTTGATCGAGATGCTAACGGTCTAATCTGATTCAATTATCTATGCTAAGCTAAGCTAAAAATGCTCCCAACAAAACTAAAGATCGACTGAATGGATTAAAAAATGATAAAACTCATCTGTGCAACTTTTTGAGATTTATAAATTGAGCCTTTACTCCCAAAAGTGCAGTGTTTCTTTAATGGGGCTTGATTAATTAACTTTCTTTGATTATTAGAGCTTCGTTATGCTCTATAGCAGCAAAGTCCCTTGATTACGCCAGAATGAAAGTATAATTCCTAGCCATATTTGCTTAGAAACTAGCAGAGAAGAGTCGAGCTTCAAAATAGGAAAATTATCAAAACTTTTTAGTCACGTTTTAATCATGATGCTAATGGTCCAATCTGATTCAATGAACTATGCTAAGCTAAGCTAAAAGTCCTCCAGGCAGACCCAGAGATCAGCTGAATCAATTTAAATAATATAAAACTCAACTGTTCAACTTTTAGAGAGTTATACAATGAGCATTTTTCCAAAATAAGAAAGTGTGTTGCTTCTTTAATGCCGCTTGATTAATCTCTGAGAGTTCTAGTTAATTTGAGGTTTGGTTGACTCTCTGGATGCCAGTGTTTGTGGTCAACTTTTTAAGCAAGCATGACAGCTTTCATTGAGTGGAAAGTGCAGGTTTGGTTAATCTACACCTGTAAATCCGCAGAGATTAGCTCTCTGTCAGACAGGCATGTTTACGCAGAGGCAAGCATCACAGAAACGTCCCATAATCCTCTCTAAACGCTGCCGTTTCCCAGAGTTTAGAGGAGCGCTGCTAATGCTAGCTTATGGTTTGTGTGTTTGTGTGTTCTGAATGAAAACACACACCAGCATTCAAGATGTGACACCGTTTGTGAGGTGTTTTTTGACTTGGGTCATGCAACACATTTGGGTTTGGTTGGAAATGATGTAGGTCAGAGTCTGGATTATTGTTAATGGTTGTGTTACTATAGATGTTGTTTTAGGTGTGGAGACAGCTGTACACATGCATTTTATTGAAATTGTAGGTATTGTTTACAATTAGGTCCATTCCTTTGTAATTTTGTTTTATGTTGCTTGTTTGTTTATTTGTGCCATTGCTTGTGCTTTTTTGATATTTTTCAGCTAGTAATAGTTTTTATTGTAGTTATTTTTTTTGTATTTTTGTTTTGTGTTTTGTTTGTTTGTGGCAGTGTTGCACTTATGTTTTAGTATTTTTCTGTTTGTTTTTGTTTGTTTGTTTGTTTTTGTTGTAGTATTTTTTGTATTTTTGTTTTTTATTTTGTTTGTTTGTGGCATTGCTTGCACTTTTGTTTTTAGTGTTTTTCTTCTTGTTTGTTGATTTTTTTTTTGTTTTTTTTGCATTTTTGTTTTGTGTTTTTTGTTTTGTTAATTTTCGGCATGGCTTGCCCCTGTTTTTTCAGCTTGTTTGTTTTGTTTGCTTCTCTTTGTTGTAGTATTTCTTAGTTTTGTTTTGTGTTTTCTGTTTGTTTATTTGTGATGTTG